CCAAAGACGAATAAGGGCTAGGTTTGATCTTATTTGATTCAAGAACCGACATCACAGCACTCGGGGCATTCCCATAAGCCCTCCGTCCCCATCTTCAGCAGCCAGCGAAGAGTTCCGATACTAATGGTGCCAGTAGCAGTCTGATTAAACGTCCGTCTTGCCTTTCCTCTGAGCCTCGAGCATCTGCCAGAACCTCTCGTCCCTCCCCGCCGCATCAATCTCACCAGACTGGGGACATCCATCTGCTATTCCAAAGTGTACACGCTCTCCCACAAGGCACTAACCACATCTGCCTTATCATGTATCAGTATTCTACCAAGTTGTGCAGAGCCAGCCAGACTGTCCGCCTGTTCATTTCTCAACACACCGGCATAACCCGGTGACAAAATCCAGACAATACTCCTCACCCGTGTCCTCCGCAGCGAAGTTGCCACTCTGCACGAAGCATACCTGTTCTGATCTTCCTCAGCATGCTTTCTGAATTAGTTACAATCACGATGTGTGTGTGTGCGTGTGTCGTGTTCTCTAGCCAGCGGAAAGCTGCAGTGACCGCCTCCACCTCCATTCTTAAGCTGGATGTTGTGGTATCAAATGCTAGGCTCTCCTGCACCAAATGTCGACCATTAACCTTTGCTAAGAAGCTTCAAGCACTTCTTTTGCCTCTTGACACTGAACCGTCTGTGTAAATGATCAAATCCTCTGAGCGAGCATTATCTTGAATTAATTGCTGAATTTCCACCTCTGAGGCACCTGCTGGCCAGTCTCTGCATTTCCGGCGTGATTATGACTCTACACAAGTCTGACTGTTCAGGTGGCACTTTGACCCACTCTTTTCCTCGCCTTATAGGGCTAGGTTTATAGACAATGAACGGGTAAAGGGATCATCACGCTGGTCTCGTTTACTTCCCATGACATTTACGGATATCCATTTTAGGCTGGGACAAGCTTGCCATGCACTGCCTAATATGGTTCCATTATGTGGTATATTTGACACCTGGACACTTGCTAAACAAGCTGAACAGCGCATAAATGCCTTTGAATACACATGTTATAGACGGGTTCTAAGAGTATCATGGGTAAAGAGAAAAACAAATACATCCATACTTCAAGAACTACATTGAAAAAGGCTGGCTATTTAGGACGATAAAAGACAGAAAATTTAAATAATTTGGTCACTTGAATGTCACGAAAGAACTATAATGAAGGTGTATACGCCTGTGAAGAGAGGAAAGGAAGGTCAAAGAGAAGGTGCAGGGTGTGGCGGATGATCTCCAAATGGATATATCGAACGCGGGGCATCTTGCTTGTGATCCAGAAGTTTTTTGGAAGGTTGTTTTGGGCGCAAGGTTCTGCAAAGGACATGCTACTGACTTATTGACTGACCTGGTATATACTGTAGTGTTTTTAATCATATCAGTTCTTTACTGAGATATTTGGGGGTCGTCGCTGAAACTACGGGGTTCATGCTTTGTGTGGCTTTCTCGGCTAGCCATTCTGCGAAAGGAGAAAGAGCCTTATGAGAAATAACCAAGGCATTATTAAAGTAAAGTAAAGGACCGTTTTCCACGCCTTTCATGCGTATTGGGTATGTAGGGCTAGACCTATATTTTACAGACCAAACGGCACTTGTTGGGTGATGTGGTCAGCAGCACACCGGTCGCATTTACTTCCAAAGACTGTACCTCGTAGCCACTCAAGGCTGGGTCGACCTGGGAGCCAAAGTCATTTTTGAAAAAAGTCCGGCCACGTCAGGAACCGAACCCACGACCTTCCGATCCGCATGCGAGCGTCTAGCCCGGCTAGACCACGGCAGCTCTCAGGGCATTATTACCCTATATAATTGTATATGTGCGTAGTGAGCTTATCCGCACCGACTAATTCCATCAAGGACAAACTGCATTTCTGTGGACGACTGTTTGCTTTGGCGCCTCTAGCAACTGCCTTATTTATTTACTGAACGCACATCTTTCTGAATTGTGCCGGGACTAATTGTTTGTTCACCAGTTTTCCAAATAGGTCAGTGAGGGACATTTCACTTGATTTCAACTGGCACAGGAATGAAACGAAGTAAGTATAAGGTGACCTGATTGTGGCGAAGTTTAAACTTCGACTAAGACAAAGAGTAACAAGTCGAGCAATAGTAGCACATTTTACCCCACTAGGACATCACACAAGCGATAAACATCTCATGACACAAAGTGCCACCATGTGGATGAGGATCACTCGTGGAGAGGTCCCGGAAACCGCGTTCAGCCATTAGACTATATTTATGGCCGGCCTATATTGCGGCCCCAGGCAAGAGTCACGGTGGGGCTTCAAAATAACGAAAAGTTACATCCCACAAGGAGATCAGTAGTATAATAACAAGTCTAACCTCTCAACTTTACCTATTCAATCAATGTCTGGGCGGGGTGTGAGTTGGGGATTTCAACACAACCAAGCCCACAACATCTTTTATTCTTAATTTTTTTTTTTTAAATACATGACAACGGAAAATGTGTCTATTGTGTACTATGTTTACAAAGTTTCCTATAGGCCCATTGTGAGTCCTGGTGACACGGTGATCAGTGCGCTTATCTACCGAGATTCAGATGGTCCAGGTTCAGATCCCAGAAATGTGGCTCCAATTTGGACATAGTCTCATTAAACAGAGTGCGAGATCATTTCTAGAATTTTCTGCGAAGTAAAGGCGGACATTGAAGAACCCCCCTACCTCCCCCATTTTTCATCCTCATCTGTCGTGGCGTTTTATCTCGGAAGCATAACACTAAACGTATCTGTATATTCACTTCTTTTCACTGTTCACACATAAGTAATTTGACTATACGTTTCAATTTCACCGGGTCAGACCCGTTTTTTTTAATGTATGTTTCGTCGATACACCACAAAAAGCGCCAATTGTCCCTGTTTCAGAAACATTCACTACAACATATAGTTTTAATGCCTGATATGTGCTCTTTATGTCGCCCGTATCTCCCTCTTCTATCCGCCGTCCATCAGTGCTGTACTTGCCACATTGCCATGAGACATTCTCCATACATGTGCACACCAGCTTAATCTTATTATTCTGATATTTGCCAATGATGACCATTTTTACCCCTTTTCCGTTTATGATCTTGTGTGCTTGTGTGGCCAAAATATTCGCAAGATTTTCTTTAGACATTTATTTTTAAACCTAGCACATCAAAGGCAGTATTTGCCATGGGACTGTCTTTTTCTGCACAGTTGAGTCAAGTCATTCATCTTTTATTCTCGTTTTTTTTTTTTAAATGTCTGCGTGACAATGTGACAATTGAAGATTTTGATGAGTGTAAAGTTTCACACGGGCTAATCTGTGTGGAGAGAACTGACATATGAACAAACACGCGTCCAAAATAGGCATATTCCCTGCGGCTATTCTGAATCTCCAGAGTCTGTATGTCAGTTTGTGCACGCACATATTAACACACACAAACCATAGGCACCGTAACCTATGAGCACAGGCTTCTAGATCACCCCCCCCCCCCAAAGAGGGGTGGGGGGGGGGGTAGAGAGGAAGAGAGAAGACTGACTGATCGATAGGTAGACAGGCAAAGACAGACATATGCTCAATATGACACTGTTCAATGTGATTCAAACAAGCGTATTATACCTGTCAAATTGAAGTTACAGTCAATCAGACAGCGAGGGTGCTGAAGTATGCTGGTTCATTTTCGTTTTCCCTTTCCTGTCCTTCTGCGTTCTTTCCTCCCCCCCCCCATCTCTCTCTCTCTCTCTCTCTCTCTCTCTCTCTCTCTCTCTCTCTCTCTCTCGCTCTCTCTCCAAATAATAGCCGACTCTCTATTATACGCAGATGAAATATCAGAACAAATAAACAAATGATAAGTTCAAGATATATCGATGAAACGCAGAGAAAAATGTCATATTAGATACAACTTAACACAGTTATGTACTACCTTTAGATGGACTGAGTTTAAAGACTGTCTGACCCCCGTGTGGGTTCAGGGGCCCCATTGTGGAAAAAACAAGAATAGACCCACTGCCTCCCCAAAAGCATGTCGTAAGAGTCGACTAATAGGGGAGCTTCCTTTGAAGTCGGAGTATCTGCCGGAGAGGCAAGGAACCAACAGTCTATATTCAAGAGAATGAGATCTGTAAAACTCATGCACACGCAACACTCAGGTTCTGGAGCAGGACTGCAGTTCAGTAGTGGACGAGGAACCAGAACCTTCCGCTGGAGTTTACAGTTGGTGAACGCGAAGAGGAAGAAGAAGAAGAAGAGGACTGACTGAGCCATGAAGGGTCAATGCTGATAAACATTAGCAAACAAGCTAAAAATCTTGCTGATGGAGTTAACGTGGAAAGTTGATGAGGCATGGGCAGGGTTGATATTTCTTATTCCCCGAAAGAGGCACGACGATTAGCTCTTTGAGTTCCAATAGTTTGCGCACATAGATTGATTTTATAGTTACATAAAAAAGGACAAATTTGTATCCCTTTGGGTGTATTTTGTATGTATAATTAGGAGGAGGCTGTGGGTTACAATAACAACACTGTGGGAGAGTAGATACAAAGCTAACAACTCTGATATGCTACGTTAGTATGACAACCGACTGTAACATAATAACGTCAAAGATGTTGCGTCTTTAAACCAGAACTCACAACTCACGAGTCGCAACCTCAAATAAGGTCGCCGAGAGTTCTCGGTGGGTCCTAAGTATTGGTAAGCAATGAATATTTTCAAAACGATGTAAACAAACATCACACCATCGCGTCCTGTACAGAGAAAAATCTATGTAAGTTGAAAATTTCGATGCGTTTTTTTTAATTACCCCTTTTAAAATGCTCACTCATAATGTAAAGGGTTGCGGGTCACTTTGCTTATATATATATATGCGATCGCCACTAAAGAACGTATGCTGAGCTGAATGGTACCGACATAATTAATTCCACTGAGAAGAAATGTCAGTACATGCTTTGTTATATTGTTATTTTAGATCGGCATTTGTCCTGGGTATGAAATGTCATCAGAGGATACCACAAGCAATGTCTCGCTGACACCAACCACAGCCATCAGTGACAGTTTCATGAACAATGAACGGTTTCACCAAACTGGTGGACTTCTTTATGATTTTTATCAGGTGAGTAATTGGTTTTGTCTGGGAGCATCCAATCAGTGGTGTACTGACAGGGTAGGTTTTTTTAAATTTTAATTATTTTATTTTAATCTAGACACCCCTGTGCCTCACGCACACAATTGTGTTTCAAATCTCTCAGCAAATTAATGTAACTGTCTTGAAGGGCTCTAGTTCGAAGCTTTCAGTTGTTGCGTTCAGAAGTTTAAACAATTACATTAGGGGACACAAGGAACTAAACTAAGAATACTTGTTTAAAAAATCAAGTAAAAAAAAAAAAAGACTGTATCTTGACTAACCTGAGTGGTACAGATAGAACTAATTTTAACTGAGTTAACATCAATTTGTTATGTGTTTGTTTGTAGGTGTTATCCGTTAACTGTGGGTAAACTGCCGTTACTGTGTATATTTACCCCTTTTGCAGTGTAATTAGGGGGTTCTTTGAGTATGAGGATTTATGGCTACATAGCTAGTTCTGCCATCATGGGCTGTGCAGGTTAGGATTTTATTTTTTCCCGCTACTGAAAAAAATCTTCAAACTTAACCGAAAAATTTAACCTGGGTCTCCAGAATGAGAGCTCAGCGTTTTTAACCATTCAGCTAGCCGCTCTTCCGCCGTGGGTAACTACTGTGTTTCCCGAAAAAGAAAAAAGTCTGGGTTTTTGTTTTTTATATTTAAAAAAAAAAAACACACATATACATTTATTAGTGAGCAAAATGCTACATTTATTCAAATATAGTCCTGTCATCTTCCTCTGGAACATCGTCATAACTCGCCAAATCCTGAATTCCTGCCTGAATTTCTCGCAACCCTATTTTCTGTACAACCATTTGCCCTAGTATCTCATGTCCAGTATTGAAGCTCTCCTTAAGTAAGAGTAGTATAGTGGAGTTTTACAACCCGCTATTTTGTGATATTTTCCCACGATAACCTTTGCAAATCGTGGCCCAAATCATCTAAGCGAAAAAAAAAAAAACCTGTGGCTCTAACTTTATGTAAGATAAAATTATCTGCACCTGCCGACCGAGAGGTGCAGATCGTTTTTCTTAAATAAAGTCACAGAGCCATAGATATTGGGGGGGGGGGGGGGGGGGGGGGGGGGGGGGGGGGGGGGGGGGAAGAGGAAAAAAAAAAAGGGGGGGGGGGGGGGTCTTTAGATCATTTGGGCACGATAAGCAAAAGTATAAAGGGAAAATGTCAGAAAAATAACGGGGCGTAAAATTCCACTACACTACTAGTGAGCATTTCTTGTTTATGTGGCCTGCTGATAAATTTAACTACGGCTTATTTTTGGGGTAGGGCTTATATGAAAAGCAAAACGAATATCACGATATGACTTATCTTTTGGTGTAGCACTTTTTTCTGGGAAACATTGTAGTTACTATTTGACGATGATTATGATAACATAGCAGTGTAATAAACAAAGAAACAAGCAACCATGGCACTATATTGTGTAACTTAACCAGCTTACTGGTATGTTATGCAAAGAAATTCATAAGGTGAGGAAAAAAGAACACAGTCTTCCTGGAGACATTGAAAATTAGGTACATTAGCAAATTAGATAAAACTGCGTCGAATACTTGGCCAAGTGGATTGGGGGTGGGGGGGGGGCGGGGCAAGAGCACACAGTTCTGATCCACGATTTATAAGATCTTTTTGGAATAGTGAAATATGGATGACTACATTTAACTGCATTACGTATGTTGAAGATGGCAACGACTAGTATATTCTGAGATTGTGCAGTAGTTTATAGAATCCTCCTTGTATGATCTATGAGAGGAGACGGAAGCACAGACAGCAGTTTCTATCACAACTGATTTTCATTCTCTAATGTGCTGAACATTTATTTAACCGTGTAGGTTCTGCTGTCCTATCGTATGGGGTGGGGAGGAGAACCCACTGCCACTGTCACCAAGCTGGTCATCAGAATCAACTAATTATGGACGTTTTCTTTTAAGTCAACGTAACTGAGAGGCGAGGAACAAATACTCTGCATACAAAGCCAGGTCGGTAAAATAGAATTGCACGCAAAACTGGACTAATATGAAAGTCCAGAAGTAGAGGAACAACCAGAACTTTTTGCCGGAGTTAGGAGCCAATGAAAGTTAAGGAGAATAAGAAGAAGAAGAAGAAGAATTTTTGCCTTTGTGTAAATTCTTCCATCCATTTGTTTCCCCTTCGGAATGCTACCTAAAGGTTCACCCACCCCTGTTTTCAGTAATCCCCCACCTTGGATGGCAGACCAAGTAAGTAAAACCCAGACACGGCCTATTTTTCAGTTGTATCCACACAGACTCTCTATGATATAGGGAGAACAATGGAAGTAGCAAAGGAAATGAAACATTATAGAATTAGTATTTTAGGGTTATGTGAAACTAGATGGACTGGGGCAGGGAAAAGTATTCTAAATTCAGGAGAAACTATTTTGTTCTCAGGACACACAGAGGAAAATTCGCCGCACAGTGAGGGAGTGGCCCTGATGCTATCAAAAGAAGCAGACAGGGCACTAATAGAATGGGAAGCTGTGAGTCCCAGAATAATAAGAGCATCTTTTAGAACAGTTAAACAGAAGGTGAACATCTCGGTAATACAGTGTTATGCACCAACAAATGATAAAGATGCATCTGTTAAGGAAGAATTTTACATGCAGCTTCAAAATATTATAAATAATGAAAGAAAGGGCAACTTAAAAATTTTGATGGGTGACTTGAATGCTAAGATAGGATCAGACAACACAGGTTATGAAGAAATTACGGGGAGACATGGTCTAGGAGTAATGAATGAAAATGGAGAATTGTTCACAAATTTTTGTGCAGGTAACCAGTATGTTATTGGTGGAAGTATTTTTTCCCATAAAAGTATACACAAGGCAACATGGGAATCACCAGACCATAAGACAACTAATCAAATTGACCACATATGTATTAACAAAAAGTTTAGATCATCCCTTTACGATGTTAGCTCTTTCAGAGGTGCCGATGTATTTACTGACCATTTCCTGGTGGTAAGTAAAATCAAGTTGAAACTAAAAAGATATATAACATCTTATAATCATAGAAACCAATATAATGTAGGCTTTCTCAGAGATAAAGAAATTAAGGAACAGTTCTCAGTTACGGTCTCTAATAAGTACCAGGTGTTGCAGCAGTTAGCTGAAGATGTCAACACGGAAGTCTGCTGGGATCAGATCAAAGGAATCTGGAATGAATCTTGCGTAGAAGTTCTTGGCAAGAACGAAAAGAAACATAAAGCATGGATAACACCAGAAACCATTAAACTGATTGAAGAAAGGAAAAGTAAAAAGGCAGAATTAAACAATAGCAAAACTAGAGCTGCTAAAGCTAGAGCTCAGGAGAAATACACAGAAGCCAACAAGGAAGTTAGGAGGCATATAAGGGCAGATAAAGTGAAATATCTAAATGATCTAGCACAAGAAGCGGAGACAGCGGCAGCAAAAGAAAACCTCAGAGAACTTTACAGTAACACAAGAAAATTAGTAGGTAAATATAGTCAGCCAACTGGATCAATCAAAAATAGTCAAGGAAAGGTACTTACTAACACTAAAGATCAAATGGACAGATGGGTTGAATATTTAGAAATGCTTCTAAATAGACCAGACCCAGAGGTTCCCCCAGATATCCAGCCTTTAGAAATGGAACTGGATATCAACTGTGAGATACCATCCAAAGAGGAAATTAGGAAAGCTATAAATCTTCTCAAGGAAGGAAAGGCGACAGGCCCAGACGGTATCCCAGCTGAAGCCATCAGGGCCAACATAAACACATCAACAGAATTGCTACATAGATTATTCAGTAAAGTCTGGGAGACCGAAGAAATACCAGCAGAATGGAGAGAAGGATATCTTGTGAAACTGCCCAAAAAAGGTGATCTACAGGAGTGTGAAAACTATAGAGGAATTATGTTGCTGTCAATTCCTGGAAAAATATTAAGTAGAATTATTTTGGAAAGATTAAAAGATGCTATTGATAAAATGCTAAGAGATGAGCAGGCAGGTTTTCGGTCAAACAGATCCTGTACTGATCAGATAGCCACATTACGTATTATAATAGAGCAAAGCATTGAACTGAACTCACCACTTTACATTGGATTTATAGACTATGAAAAAGCATTTGACAGCATAGATAGGGAATCTCTCTGGAAATTGATGGGGCACTATGGAATCCCACAGAAAATTATCAACTTAGTAAAGGCAACATATAAAGACATTAAATGTCGAGTTCTTCGTGAGGGAAAACTAACAGATGCATTTGAAATAAAAACAGGTGTGCGACAAGGATGTCTTTTGTCGCCCCTCTTATTTTTACTGGCTATAGACTGGACTATGAAAACAGTAACTGCTAACACCAAGAATGGAATTCAGTGGACCCCTACAAAACAGCTTGATGATCTGGACTTCGCTGATGATATTGCTCTTCTGTCCCATTCACGGAATCAGATACAAGATAAATTAAATATACTTAATGCGAGATCAAAGCAGCTTGGTCTGAAAATCCATAAAAGAAAGACAAAGATAATGAGAATAAATCAGGCAAATAGTAATGTGGTTTCTCTTAATGGCACCCCACTTCAAGACGTGGAGTCGTACACCTATTTAGGCAGTAATGTAGATAAAGATGGAGGAACTGATAGAGATATTAAAATAAGAATACAAAAGGCAAGAGGGGCTTTCATAGCACTAGGGAATTTGTGGAGGTCAAAAGAAATTAAAAGAAATACTAAACTAAAAATGTTTAATTCTAATGTCAAATCAGTACTATTGTATGGGGCGGAAACATGGAGAACAACCAAGGCAATTACTAATAAATTACAGACATTCATTAACTGGTGCCTGCACAGAATAGAGGGAATAAAATGGTATGATAGAATAACTAATGTAGAACTTTGGGAGAGAACTAAACAGGCTCCAGTGGATCAGGAAGTGAGGAAAAGACGCTGGCGTTGGATAGGGCACACACTGAGAAAACAGGAGAACAGCATTACTAGAATGTCTTTGCATTGGAACCCACAGGGGCATAGGAATAAAGGAAGGCCAAAAAACACATGGAGAAGAGAGCTGGAGAACGAGGTTAGAAAGATTGTGAGGACATGGGGAGAGCTCCATGCAATGGCGAAGGATAGAACGACTTGGCGTGAGTTGGTTGAGGGCCTATGCTCCATTGGGGGATAGAAAGGCAGAAGAAGAAGAGACACAGACTGGCCCGTGTGAAACTTTACACGCATCAACATCTTCCATAGTCACATTGTCACGCAGACATAAAGACAACGAAAATAAAAGGTGAATGCCTGGACTCACATGTGCGGGTTTAGACAGTCCCATAACAAACACTATCTTGAATGTGTTAAGCATTTCAGCAAGAAAAGGAATCATTTTGTGCTTCATTATATGTTGATTTAACTCTTGGTAGTGCACCTGACGAGATACAATGTATTGTTTGTGTCTGCGTTCTTTTTCTTTTCTCTACTTTTGGAATGCCTCGCGGCGTCAGGGAAGGAAGGGATCTCTAGGACAGGCCCTTATGTTAGCTTCGTATATAGTACTTTTCATTGTCTCTGATATTTCTGCGGTCAATATTTGCGTGGTCGACCTCTGGTTTTGTTACCGTTGTATCTGTATAACATTGCTCTCTGTGGTGCACTTTCTGCTGCCAATCTTGCTACATGGCCAAATCATCTGATTTGTTGTCTACCTATAAAGTTCAGTGTTGTTTCTGTGCCGATATCATCGTTCCTAATTCGACCTGTGCCTGATATCATCGTTTCTAAGTCGACCTTTCCTTGTTACACCTAGCATAGTTCATAAACATTTCATTTCTGTCATGGCTATTTTCCTTCTGTCTTCTGAAGGCAGCATCCATGTTTGACATTGATAGCAGAGCGTTGGTAAGAATATTAAGAATGTCCGCATTATCTAGATTTTTAAAAAAATGTTTGAGGAAATCTTGCGAAAATTTTAGCCAAACAAGATCATAAATGAAAAAAATGGGGGGGGGAAGGGGAGGTGGGTATAGGGTCATCGCTGGCAAATTGGGGCGTCTGTCATGGCTACACCAGCCTGGAGTGGCCTGCAGTCTTGTGTGGGTTGTTGTTGTTCATCCATCACGAGTGATGAAGACCACTTTCATCCAAAGTAATAATGATCAATGGTAATGCGTCGCTTGATGAAAATGACTTGCGCAAGGACTTGGATTTAAGTGAGGAAGAGTTGCGCAATTCGTCGACCTCACTCTTGATCCAATGGTAGGACAATGTCGAGACGATTGGAAATGGACCTGTGTGGGTAAGATGTGATCAGGGGCGCTGAAACCCGAGGTCTTAGGCACCTCGAATATCCCCCTTTCCTATAAATGTAAGGCGGGGGAGGGGGGGGGGGGGTGTCCTAATTTGTAAAGAGACTAAGCTACCCGCACACCACCCCAACCATGTATAAAAGTTCTCTTATGTTAAAAAAATATATGTCATATTTTTCAAACATATTACTATATTTTGCTTCCATTTAGCAAGATATTATTATTTTTAGGCACGTAAAGAAGGCTCAAGTGTTGTGGAGGCCCTTCCCCTCCCCATGTCTTCCTTCATGACGGCGTCCCTACAAGTGGTGATGTAACCAGGTTTTTTTTCCCTTAGGAGAAAAAAGATGCCGGTACTCACCACAAGGTTTCTATTATAGTAGTGTTGAACACAAAATAATGCATTAAACAGGTGCCGGTACTGTCTAAAAAAAAAATCTACACACCACAATGTGTCTATTACAGCAGTGTTAAAAAAAAATCATGCAAAAAAAAAAAAAAAAAAAAGAGCCGGTTGTGACAGTTTATAAATGCTCATGTAAACATAACGAAAAGCAAAGAAATTATTTCCCCCTCACAACATATTCTCTATTGCAACAGATGGCAGCAGTGGACTGGGACGAAATCCACGACAGAGAGAAGCTGACCTCATGGGCGTACACCACGTGGAACGCCCTCAACATAGTCCGGCTGACACTGGCTATCTGGATTCTGGCTAGTCACATAGCTCTCATCGTATTTGTACTGGCCAAGAAAGCACTGAGGCAGCAGCCCAAGAACCTGCTGATTATCAACGTGGCGCTGGTGAATGTTTTGATGGGCATGTTCGTAGTACCAGTCAAGCTGCACTTTATACTCAACCCAAAAGGCCCACAATGCAATCTTGCCGTGGTAGGTATTCAAAGCATGAAAATGTATTTGTTATGTCAGGCCAGGTTATTGTCAGAGTGACCATAAGCCCTGTTTTTATCGAGACGTTTTTTATGTAGGTCCAGACCGTTCTGTCAAAACTGAGTACGTCTAGACCTACCTAAAAACGATACTGTCCTGACGATTTGCTCCACCTAGTTCTTGCCCCCCTCTCCCCGATTGTTGTGCTTAGGATTAACACCTGAAGGATGAGAATTGAAAATCAACATGTACAAATCCTGGTACCTCGCTCAACCGCACTTATTACTGGTATGTTAGTAGTTTGCCCCTTCCAGGACTGCTCACTTCTACGAGTGAATGAAGTTGAACTCCACTAGGACAGCATACAGAGCGAGTGATTGAAAGAGTCACTATTTGGGGCATCAGCACACTACTGTCTCGACATGCAAGAGCACTAATCACTATCTGGAAGTGCAAGGGTGCTAATCACTGCCTGGACGTGCAAGGGCGCTAATCACTGTCTGGACGTGCAAGAGCACTAATCACTGTTTCAACGTGCAAGGGCATTAATCACTGCATCTCGAGACAGTGGATAGTGCCCTTGGAGGGCGAGACAGTGGATAGTGCCCTTGGAGGGCGAGACAGTGGATAGTGCCCTTGGAGGGCGAGACAGTGGATAGTGCCCTTGGAGGGCGAGACAGTGGAAAGTGCCCTTGGAGGGCGAGACAGTGGATAGTGCCCTTGGAGGCCGAGACAGTGGCTAGTGCCCTTGGAGGCCGAGACAGTGGCTAGTGCCCTTGGAGGGCGAGACAGTGGATAGTGCCCTTGGAGGGCGAGACAGTGGAAAGTGCCCTTGGAGGCCGAGACAGTGGCTAGTGCCCTTGGAGGCCGAGACAGTGGCTAGTGCCCTTGGAGGCGAGACAGTGGATAGTGCCCTTGGAGGGCGAGACAGTGGATAGTGCCCTTGGAGGGCGAGACAGTGGATAGTGCCCTTGGAGGGCGAGACAGTGGAAAGTGCCCTTGGAGGGCGAGACAGTGGATAGTGCCCTTGGAGGCCGAGACAGTGGCTAGTGCCCTTGGAGGCCGAGACAGTGGCTGGTGCCCTTGGAGGCCGAGACAGTGGCTAGTGCTCTTGCATGCCGGCCGCGAGAAAGTGGTGTCTAGGTTCACTTTTGAGAAGTGGCAGGATGTTTTTCAACCATTATGTCTCTGAGGTCGACCAAGTCTCATTTAAACATACCACTCTCCAAAAAATGCAGGGAGAGAGTGAGGCAGTGTGTGAAAGAGAGGGGGGAAAGGGGAGAGAGGGATAAACAGATAGAGTAGAGGGAGCAAGTGGGGAAAAAGTGAGAGATATAGAGAGAGACGGGAGCTGGAAAGAAAAACACAGTAAGATAAAGACATCTATATTTTGCATACACTTATGTTCTGTATTTAGAATGTCACTGATGTATTATTCACTATGTCATGCAATTTCAAAATTAGTAATTGAATTTTTTATCCAAATAAAACATTTTAATTTTTTTCAATTAAAAAAAAAACACACACTTGTTTTGCTATATCTGCTGCGTAGTTTTCTTTTGGTTGGAAACCCTTTCCTATCTTTCTATGTTGGGGAAGAGGGGTTGGAAAGTGGGGTGAGGGTGGATTATCTGGAAAGGAAAGGTGACAATGAACTGGACTGGCCATTCTTCTTCTTCTTCTTCTTCTTCTGCGTTCGACATCAGTCATGCTAAACATTGAGTCCCGTCTGGGTCACAAATAGGATTGTGCGTTTAAGGTCGCCACCGGTCCCCCATAGCTTCTCTCGCAATGTGGCTCCCTTGGGCCAGATCCACAGTCTTTGCTGGGAGAGGTAAGGGCAGTACTGCAGTATGTGCTCAGGGGTCTGTCTTTCTGCTCTACAATCACAGGCAGCAGATTCTTTTATGCCTATCCTGTACAGGTGTGCTCGAAGACCACAGTGTCCAGTCCGGTCTAAAAAAATTGATGTTTGTTCTTTCCTGTTGAGTTTGTTTATGCTGTCACTCTCTGGTCTGTAATTTCCATTCTGCCTTCTCCACTCTCGCTTGAAAGACTGCTTTAGCACTGTTTTGGTTTCCTTGTAGCTGTGTGGTGGATGAGATTGTGGAAGATTACTCCCAGATTTTGCCAACTCATCTGCTCTCTTATTTCTTTGAATACCACAGTGGGCTGGTATCCACTGCAAGACCAGTTCTGCTTCCTTGGAGAGTAAGCCAATGTTGGTCCTTAGATCTGCAATTAGTTTGTCTTGTTTTTGGCTTGATAGTGCTTGGAGAACAGACAATGAGTCACTAAGTATAACAAATTTGTGCCCTCTGTGTTCTTGAGTGATGAGATGTTGGACTGCAGAAAGGAGGGCAGTTGCCTCAGCTCTGAAGTTAGTGCAGATGTCACCTGCTGGTAGAGAGAGAGTCTCTGCTCTACTGCTAGGGGGTTTAATGTATATTACACAACCCCCTTTCTGACTGCATCTGTAGCAGAGCCGTCGGTGAAAACCTGAGTCCAAGTGGTGTTTGGATACTTCTCATTAAGCATAGCAAGAGCCAGGGTTCTCTGTTGTGTCTCCGTCTGGGGATCTTTTGAAGTGATCCCTGGTACCTTTAGGTCTACATTTGCCTTCTCTGGCTTCCTTGTCCATGGTTCTGGCCTAAGTTTTTCACACAGTGCAACATCTCTTTCAAGCAGATCTTGGTGCTGTCTGTACAGTTTTCTAGCAAGGTGGTTGGGGCTCTGACGCTTCAGTCTGTTTTTTGTTCTCTCTTGAAATTTAAAATTCAGTGGGTGACTTTAAAGTCTTTTTAATTTCTCATACTGTAAAAGAGTTTTGTACTGGCCATTCAACTTCAAACATCGTTGATGATATAATGCTAACATTTATCTGAATATTCTTTGTACAGTATCTGCCGATTACGACAATCTTAGAACAATCACAAAAGGTGTGAACAGGAAAATATTTCAAACAATTTTGGTGGTTTGTAGAGAACGGTGATGGAGCATGCAATCTGTACAAAACGAGGTAGAGGTCAACCGTCGTGAATATGATTAAAGACACTGAAGATGCACAGGATATAAAAGCACACAGGGCTGGAGAACTGACTGGAGAAAGAGAGACTTTCAGGCGTGCTCTGAAGAGAGCAACGTTCTGCAAAGGGCATGCTGACTGACTGATACAAACTACTTAACTGAGAGAAAAATTATATGACATATAAAATAGCAAAAATGTACTCTGAAAAAATCAATGAATATTATATCCCAGTTATAACCCTGAGGGTTGAACAGGATATTTTCATGAACATTAATACCACTTCAAATTCCAACGGCAGTACTTCCTAAAGGAATACCTGAACCTTGCCAAACATGCCATTAGATGTGACTGAGGTAGGTTTATTGGTATAAAGTGGAGCTAAGCATTATAACAGTACATCATATTAAGCATGTCATAAAAGATGACTAAAAGTAGGTTTTGTCCTGGCATTGACTACCTCATCTCATAGAAGATTTAATCCGCATATTGCAACCACCTACAAACACATTTAAGTTACAAATATAAACTGAAGGCTTCACGGTAATTGTATGAGGTCTATGCTTCACCGGGCGATAATTTTAAATTCTTACATGAACCCTCAAATCGACACAGCCTAAATACTGGTACCAAATGACATGCCATGTGTGATCAGCTGTTGACAATGTGTATCATGCATTACATGGTGTGTTAAAATATATCTTACATTTTTTTAAAGAATACTTAAGGAGGAAAAGGGGCTTTTGAGGTGAAATGCTATTGAAACATTCTCAGACTAGCATGGACAAAGCAGAGAAGAAATACTGACATTCTAAAAGATCTGAACATCAAGGAAGATTGGCTAATAAACAGCATCTTGTGTCGGTAGCGGAAATATTTTGGTCATATCAATAGTGGATCAGGAAAAAATAAAAGCAGAAAGCATGGTACCATGAAGGAGTGTGAAGGGCAGACCAACATGAAGATGGGTACAGGAAATAAGGAACTCCTTGGATATAAAGGTGCTCGATGTGTGAGAGCTGGTCAGAGACCGAGTTTCTTTCAGGCAGACCCTGATGAGAGCGATGTTCTGCAAACAATCTTCTACAAGATGATACTAAAGAAATCTGGCTAGATACAAACTATAGCATATGCTATTGATACACATTCACATGTTGTTGTTTTTATCCTTTTTTATTGGCATCCGCTGCAAAATCGTCTGTCAAAAAATAAATTTGCATGTCAATTGCTTGAAAATAAATAATTATTCTATCTTTCTTGATGTTTAATTTTCTTGCATTTTACAGTTATCTACATTCTGGTTTCAGGGTTGGACATTTGTAGCAGAATATTATCAACCATCAGCATGCCTGTTTGCTGTTCTTAGCTTGGTCCTTGAGCGCTTTATTTACGTATACACAGAGAAGACACAAAAGAACATCAAGCCGTGGGCTGCAAAGATTGGCACCACCATTTTAATGTTTCTTCCATGGATCTTGTCTTGTCTAATTCTGCTGCCAATATTTTATGCAGGACTGCTAGCCAAATTCACCGATCCAAATCAGTGTTTATTCAAAGTCAACGAGGGATATTTTGTTGCCTCCCAGCTGATGTCTTTCATCCTTCCATCACTAGGAGTCTTCATCCTGGCACCATTTACTGGTCTCCTTGACTGCCTGCGTCCAAAAAGATGTTTCTACAAGCCTCTAACACCCAGAGGTGAATCCATGGCCATCACTGCCACTGTGAGCCTGGTCTCTATATTTTGTGAAGCTCCCTACTGCGTGGTTCGGGTGCTCATGATGACCGTAGAATGCAACAATTCTTACTGCAGCCGCTTCAGTGAAGCCCTGACACTGGCTATGTGGATCAGAGTATGTAAAGCTGGCGTTTTCCCTTTTATCTGGCTGGCGTACACAGACATCAGGGATGCACTGCTTCATTTAAATAATGCTCAACAAAAAGACAAAGAAACTGATTATGATAATGATGACGATGATGAGGATGGTGGCCAAAAGTTTCCACTGACCAAGAGTTCTTCAAAAGCAGTTTGAAAAAAAAAAACAGGGATGGACACTGAATGTTTCCAGGCATTATACAAAAACCACCTGTACAAAAAGATCCCCACTGACACTTTACTAAAAGTGACGGATTTGTGACAATAATTAGTAGCATACGTGAAAGTACATTAAAACATGTATCTTGTACCAAAGCAAATTTCCTGTCTTTAATGAGGTACTCATTGTTTATACAAACAGCATCATCACAAAGTGCCTCACCAACTGGAATGGGTGATCATGCTTGTTTAATATTTGTGATCTCCCGCAGCATGTTTTAATTCCTTGTTCATGACATGATAAAAGGATGTCGTGATTCTTTTTTACTGGTTTCTTAAATCTCTTTTTCTTTTGAGAAAATAAAAACTGAAAACATAGCCCAAAAAAATGTCATGATGTGGGTTAGGTTTAAGTTAGTCAAACCAAACACAGTAGGTCACGTTTCCTTCACAAGTTTGTTGGATTGGTCTACTTTTCTGCAGGTTACGGGTGTGCGGCTCTGTTGTTTGCTTTCAGGGTTGTCTTGCATTTAGGTTTTTATTCCGAGAAAGAGAATGCTTATGACATAGGCTGCAGCACACTAAAAGCACTGTTTGTTGAAATATACAACATGCGATATCAACGGCATTGCGGAACACCCCGGTAACCTTGTGCCAAGGTCACTTGGCTCAGGTTCTACCTATAAGAAGTGAGCTAGTGTGTATTAGGGTGGGATCTAGGGAGCGAAACATTACTTCTACCCATGAGGTGTTTTCAGTGTTCTTTTCTCAAAATATGCCCCCCCCCCCCCCTTTTCCCTAAAAAAAAACCTAGATTGCCACTTTGTAATGTTTGTTGTATGGTTTCATGCAGCAGGAAGCAACAGATACCAAGTCTTATGGCTATACTTAGATACACTAGGAAGCAGAGGCCACCCACACAAGCAATGGCTGGATGGCAGCATACTTCAAGGCTTGTACCTGCTGCCTCTTCAAAACCTGATGCTGAAAGGCAGGCAGGACATCTAGAGAAAAGATGTATACTGGTCCACTCAAGTAAACCATGTTAAGTGGCTGTACTCATTGCTCTATATGCAATTAACAGCTTGGTTAAAAATTAACAAATAGGCATCTCAAGTCTCCTTCCTCATAATCTTCTGACTTTCACATTGTAATCAATGATGCAGCAAGGTTTTGTGGTACGCAGTGTGAAAGTCATCTATGTTTGGTCAAATATTGTCATTCACTGGCAGAATAGCTTCCCTCTTTAACAAACAGACTGCAGCTAACAGAGAATATAATGCAGCATCCCAACATGTTTGTGACTTTGAATTAACAGCTGAGTGTTAACACCTATTGCTTTAGTGATTATGAACAGTTATGACATATAAGGGTACAAAGTCAACTGCAGATGATTTGAGAGCAGACGACTCTGACATGGCTTTAACAATGGCATGAGTATTGTCTATAAAAGACCAGCAAAACTAACCCAATAATTTAAACAGAAAAAAAAAAGGATTTTGAATGCATGAATCCAGAATTGATCTCAGTGCACTAGGGTCATTTCCATACATGGTCTGTCCCCTTCCTCAGTAGCCAATGAATGTTGCCATACTGATGTTGCCAGTTACAACCTGAAAGTTGGACAATAAATACTGGAGTTGGTTTGCTAATTCCTGTAAGGATATGCAACTAATTTAATAAAAGCTAAGAAGCTTTCCTGAAAGAGTCAGACTTTGTTCTTAAAAAATGATTAAATGGGTGGCAGGGGATGTTCTGGAAAGTAAAGGCGGCTAGCCTGATGCTGACCACACCACTCACTAAGTGCTGACTGGTCTAAACAATATAGGTCTAGCCCTATATGCCCAATACACCTGAAGGCATAAAAAAAGAGTCTTCTACTTTTACAGGATGATTTTGCTCTGTGCTTTATGAATATAAATATTAAAATTAACATTCCCATTCTTCAGCTGAGAATTAATGTACATGTACTATTGTCTATAATTATACATTGTTTACAATTATTCTTTTAAAATTAAGCTATGCTAAAAAGCAATAAATACAACAAAATAATGAAAATGTACCTGCTTATAATTGTTAAATGAATTGGATAGTGTTTTGTTTAGTCAGAATACAATTTATTTATCTTTTGTCAGTAATTTCCTATGAACTTCGAGTTTGGAGTCCTGTTTCAGGGAAGTAACTATAAAAGAAATACCACTGAACTAGGCTCCCTGGGCGGGTTCCGGGCCCTATTATGGGGGAAGGGGGAGGGGGGAAATAGACTCATTGCCGCCTCCCTCCACAACATGTCATAAAAGTCAACTAATTAAAGGTTTTTCTTTCAAAGTCAGAGTGTATCTGCCTGAAGGCAAGGAACCATCGGTCTGCATACGTAAAAGCCAGATCTGTATAACAGATTTGCATGCAAACCTCGAGCTCTGGAACAAGACATGATGGAAGTCCAGAAGTAGATGAACAACCAGAACTTTCTCCCAGAGTTTACAGCCAATGAACCTGAAGAAGAAGACTGAACTAGGCCTAATCCCAAAGTACTGTTCAGCTGACTTATATCCAAACTGCAGATGCAAAATTTACACCTATGGCTTCAGTTCAAGTGCTAGCTATGCACACACTGGATAGGAGAAACAGAGCTCTCTATAAAACTTCCCGTCCTTTGTAGAATGGAATTTTTCATTACTTGAAGCCCTACTCTGGCTCTTGCCAAGGGCCGCAATATAGCCTGGCCATAAATGTGGCCTAAAGGCTGAACGTGGTTTATGGGACCTCTCCACAGTGATCCTCACCCACATGGTGGCACATTGTGTCATCGGGTGTTTATCGCTTGTGTGATGTCCTGGTGGGGTAGAAAGTCACTCAACAGAGCTCTGTAACATGGTCTCTGTGAATATGCTACTTTACTATCAGGTCAGCCTTTACCTCAACATAGTCTGCTCTCCATAGTTGTACCGCTCATTAATTTTCTAATGCTCCTAGCATCCTCATCAATAGCCTGCTAAATCTTACAACTGTATTTTGTCATACTTGTGACAACATTTTCAGAAAATGGCATTCATTCATCATCATCTCTCAACTAATGAAAATCCAGTGGGCATTCTCTCTATCATTATGCTGACTAGTAGCATTTGCTCAATTTTGAGATGAGAAAAAAACACATTTGCATGTAGTCCTCTATACCCTTCCTGTCACAAAACACTCTCTCCCCTCCCTCTATACTCTTAGGTATATTTATTTAAATTTTTGGGGGTGGGAGGATGTATGTATCAACTGCAGCAAGATATGAACTAGAAACAGAAGTTTTCAAAATCAGTCTTCATTAACTGATTTAAAACATTAATTTCTGTGTACCATATTTCTCATCCTGACACACAAGCTGTGAATCTGTTTTGTAGCAATGTAGCATGGTAATACATCTTTGTTATTCCTTCAAAAAAAAAACAAAAAAACTTTTTGTGCAAGGACAAAAACACAGACAAAAAGGATAATTTTCAAAATGAATCTGAACTTTTAGGTATTTATTTAAACCCTAATAAAAAATATCCAGACTTGATTTAATAACACTCATTTGCAGATGCAAAACAGTTACACTGTGTATTTGTTAATCTTACACAATGTCAACTCCTTGCTTCGTTTCTTTCCTCCGAAGTCGGAGTACATCTGCCGGAGAGGCGGGGAACGAGAACTGCAAACAAATAAGCCAGTAAAACGGATGTACACGCAAAACTCAGGTCAAGGTTAAAGCCAAAAGTCCATTTTGGACGAACAACCGCAACTTACCGCCGGAATTCACAGCCGGTGAACAAGAAGAAGAAGTTTCTTTCTTTCAAGCTGATAATTGCAAATAACACATACTGATATTTTATAAACCTTATCCTTGGCTTGTTTACATAGCTAGGTCACAGTTTTGCCCATAGCCAACTAGATACCAGACCAAAGTACACATAGTGAAGACAATTAGCGAACAGAGTCTTCTTCTTTTCTTGGCACTCACCGGCTGTAAACCAGTGGAAGGTTTGGTTTTCCTCCATTTATGGGCTTTGGCCTTGTTCCAGAACTTCAAATTCCAGAGTATTGCATGCAAATCTGTTTTACAGATCTGGCTTGTTTGTGTGCAGGCTTTAGGTTCCTTACCTCTCAGGCAGATGCACTTAGGCTTAGAGAAAGAGGTAAACAGAGGGGGACATGAGGTAAGCTGCATGGGAAAAGACAAAATGACATGGGGATAGGTGGATGGGAAAAGACAGAAAGAACATGGGGACAAGTGGATGGGAAAAGACAGAAAGGGTATGTGAGCTGCATGGGAAAAAACAGAAAAGACTTGTGAGCTGCATTAGGAAAGACTGAAATGACACGGGGAGAGCTGTATAGGAAAAGACAGAAGGGCATGGAGAGACCTGCATTGGAAAGAACATGTTGTGACCTGCATGGGAAAAGATAGAAAGGACATGAAGAGAACTGCATGGGAAAAGACAGAAAGGACATGAAGAGAACAACATGGGAAAAGACAGAAAGGACATGAAGAGAACTGCATGGGAAAAGACAGAAAGGACATGAAGAAAACTGCATGGGAAAAGACAGAAAGGACACAGGGAAAACCGCATGGGAAAAGACAGAAAGGACACTGGAAGAACTGCATGGGAAAAGACAGAAAGGACACAGGGAGAGATGCATGGGAAAAGACAGAAAGGACACAGGGAGAACTGCATGGGAAAAGACAGAAAGGACACAGGGAGAGATGCATGGGAAAAGACAGAAAGGACACAGGGAGAACTGCATGGGAAAAGACAGAAAGGACACAGGGAGAGCTGCATGGGAAAAGACAGAAAGGACACAGGGAGAACTGCATGGGAAAAGACAGAAAGGACACAGGGAGAACTGCATGGGAAAAGACAGAAAGGACACAGGGATAACTGCATGGGAAAAGACAGAAAGGACACAGGGAGAGATGCATGGGAAAAGACAGAAAGGACACTGGAAGAACTGCATGGGAAAAGACAG